ATCTAGATAAACACATGCAGCATCTAGATAAAAGATATGAAACAAACATCTAAACGCATGAAACATACGGAGCTCAATGCCATGAAGTATGCGGGCCCCGCACTCCTTCTCTCAGTTGGTCGTTCTCTCTCTGGCAACAGCGCCTACACAGACCCTCATGCACCGCATGCACCCCAATCGAGTGAGGCCGCATGCACTCCCATGCGCTGCCCCGCGCCCCACGCCCGAGTGGCCGCATGAGCTCCCATGCGCTGCCCCGCGCCGCATGCACCCTGCATCGAACAAGTGGCCGCACATGCTCCCATGCGCTGCCCCAAAGAAAGGACCGGTGCGGGCTCCGCCTGACTGCAACTACGCGCACCGCTTTTTATCTTGGTCGTCACGCGTGTGCGGGGGTTGGTCCACAGACACTCTAAACCAAGCATTACCGTATACTAATACAATGGGTGCTCCATACTCCATTAGCGAAATCTAATGACAAATTGATATCAGTGGATTCCATATTTTCATTGTACGCCACTTTTTGGCAATTGAATTTGCTTAAGAGATTCATGTGTTGTTCAGTTAGATGTTGCTCTCGTGGGTTTGTCTTATGCTACTAGAAGAAAATACCCACCTAAGCAATAAGGAATAATCCATAACTGAGGAGCCTAGCCCGGTGAACATAGCAATTTCTTTCTTACTTGTGGAGCATAAGTTTAACTGTTGATTCCTTTTTGTCTTCCAAATTTACGTGGGCCACCGATTCTATCTGTTGACAGATTTGATAACAACAAATCTGTCAGATTTTTGGCCAATCAAAAAAGAAGACAGCTCACAAAAAGAAAATCTGACAGATAATACATAGTTTTGAATCTAGCAGTACAAAGTTTGTAATGTCATAGTTGAAAGTTTATGAATCTTGAGTGTACAGTTTTAAACCTAGGAGTACAAAAGTTTATAATGTCGTAGTTCAAAGTTTTATAACTACAAGTAAAAGTCAGTTTTTTTTTTCTGAGTTCTCTTTTTTTTATTGAACAAATCTGTCAGCTGATAGCTAGACAGTCCGCTTTGAGGACAACACGAATCTTCAAACAAAATAAACGGCCCAGAATCTCACTGATATAAATTAAGATTTTCTGTCGATAGAAATATAGCAATTTTCATGTTTTATTCAGTCTCGGAATCGTTGAACTAATAACCGCAAGAAACAAAGACGATGAACTTGCTGTCCAGTGTCGATTGCTACCGTCAATGAGCAGTGGGCCTGTTCGCTGGTTGGTGTTGATGCTAGTTTGGATTGGCTGGTGCTGGTTTTTTTGAGAGAAAAACACTGTTGATTGACTGATTTGAGCTGGCTAAAACCAACAAACAAACAGGTTTAATATTATTAACGTGAATGCTCATTGTAAAATCCGTGTTTATTTTGACCATATGCGTGACGCATCGGTGCGTCGCTCACAAGTCACAGCCCGGACGCAAAGGCTCGGAGATTCCTCTGCGACGTCCCCCCGACGGCGGTCGCCTCTTTGGCGCGTTGGCCCAGCACTGTCCGTGCTTCCCATGACCATCTCGACGCACCGCTGGAGCTCACCACGCCCCACCACCCTATGCCGGTACAGTCCCGATACCCGTGAGACAAGATATGGACCGGGTCAGGCCCAGCCTACAAGGCATATACCTTAATACTATAAAAAGATGTGATTTATTGTATAATATCAAATATGATATTTTCTTTATAACCCTACCCCTTCAGAGTATATAAGGAGAGGCAGGAGTCTCCTAGACGATATATCGAGTCTGATACACAATCAATACAAAAAACATAGCACTGGATGTACGGTGTTACGTCAAGCTGACGGCCTGAACCTGTATAAATCTTGTGTCTTGTGTCTCTGTTACCACCTAGTTCGCATCACGCGTACCTCCACCGATTTATCTACTATCGTGGGTATACCCCTTGGTAGACTACCGACAAGATTTCGTTGACAGTGGCGCGTCAGGTAGGGGTTGTGCGTGCTGATTTTATGGCGAACCAGATGTGAATATTTTCTTCAACCAACGTCGCCGACAACTCGACGCTGGCACGCAGCGGATCACTTTTCTCGACGAACGACCGCACGTGCTGGAGTCCGACGCCTTGCCATGCGCCTCCAACAGACGCAACACGACAACAAGATCGGAGTTAAGCAATCCAAGAAAGCTAAGTCAAGTAGCTTCCTAATTAAATATTGTTATTATACTTCCAGATATATCCATATGTTTGCATGATTCGGTTGGGAGAAACCTAATCACATCTTGTTGTTGCTCGTGATTTCTGATCGGATACGCAAGATCGTTTCCGTGGATCACGACAATTAGCAATCAAGAAAGGCGGCCGGCGATAACGCGATGTGGAGCAGTGTTTCCACCAAAGATGATGGTCGGCCATACAAGCTAATTAGAGTAATTAAAAAGATATACAAGCACATATGCATCTGGATCTACACCACCATGCAGGCAACCTCACGTATCTCAGGCATGCAAGGAAGATCTTGACTACGCCCTCGCGTCGGTCGGACACGCTCAAGGACTTCGCCTTCCCACGCGGATTGACTCCGTCAAGCTCCGATTATGTCCGTTCGCCTACGACTCCGCGTACCCGTCCGAGCTGTCAAACGAACCGTCCGAGCCGTCAAGTGAGCCGCTAAGCGAGCCGACCGGACTACTCGTTCCGATTGCCTGCCACGTCACAATGATCGCCGCAAAGAACGGCGTTATAACGACCGCGACCGCCGCCATGATGACAGGCCAGAAAGCTCGAGGGCCGGGCAATTTCATCTCCGCCGACCAAACGTTATATCTAAATATAAGTACCTTTTTATATATGAATATTTTAAAAAAAAATCGCCATGATGTTTCTTCATACTATTCTCTACATGATTATTCTCCAAACGACTTTTCTCTATGTATACCATCTTAAAGATGACATACGCTTTCGCCTCAACGGCTCTCCGAACAGCCACGTTTATGCTTGTGCTCTCCAGAGACGGCCCTGTCTCTGGCTTCTCCCTACATGTGCATGAGCGTCTGTCCTCTGCGTTATGGGTGGTCGGCAGCGGCTCCTCGGTGATGCCTATAATCCTAAGCGTGCACAGGAGCTAAGCTCTTTACGCCATGGGGTGTGGGATAGCCGGGGTTGAGGAGCTCAACCAATAAACTAACGGCTCGAGACAGTTTATATTAAATATAAACATATCTTCAAAAGAAAACTTAATGTTTATAATATATTTAAGATATTCTTTATCAACTCGTCGATCAGCCACATTCTCACTTGCGTTACCAGAAATAGCCTTGTTCTCGATCTCACTACTATACGTGCACGGCGGCTAGCCCTTTGCGTTATGGGTGATCGGCAGTGGCTCCTCGGTGACGCATATGCTCTTACACGTAAATAGGTGCTAAGCACTCTATGCTATGGAGTATGGGCTAGTCGGGACTGGTGATGCGATACAGAACCAACTGGCAGGAAGTTACTCATATTTAAAATATAAAACTTCATACAAACATAATGTCTATATATTCCGCTCTATTGTCTTCATCGTCGAGTTCATATATTTATTTTTACATCATGTACTACTCATTCTACATATTTATTACAGATTAACGTCCGGGTGGTCGCACCACCCGGTCTTTGGACTTCTCCGCCGATCAACTGGTCGGACCGCTAGGTTCATAGACTTCATCGTCGATCAGTTGGTCGCACTATTCAGCGTTCACTTCTACTCGGCGCTTACTTCGCCGTCGATCAGTTGGTTGGGCTGCTCGGTGCTCGATTCTTCGTCAACTAACTGGTCGGATTGTCCGTCGCTTTATCGTCAGCTACGCTGGGGGCTCGCCAGCTAAGCTGGGGACGCCTCGATGTTTGGATTGTTTGTCGCTTTATCGTCAGCTAAGCTGGGGACTCAGCGTTCGGATTCTTCGTGCAAGAGTCGCCAGCTAAGCTAGAGACTCCCTTGGTGGTCGGATCTTGGTATGTCTCATTAGTGTGCTATCAGCTTGCTCCATGCTGTTCGGATCAGGGTGCTGATCTTGGGCAGCACGTCTGGTCTTGATACGCACATGTCAGATGATGTTGACAAGCTTTCAGATTTATTTTCTTTGACCCTGCTACAAGATTCATTCTTCATCTTGTAGCAGACTCGGAGACTAAGTGGCTACACTTCACCTAGCGGTGAATGTAATGCTCTTTTCTTGATTTACCCTCTTTATTGACTAAATCATGGATAATTACTCGCAAACGGAGTCTAAGTGGCTAGACTTCGTCTAAGGTGGAGAATTTTTAAATTTTTATCTTGAGCCACTTACATCCTTCCGGTAAGCTTTACTTGGCTAAGTTCGAGATCTGCGTACCAGTTAAACCGATCGGCTTCGACTTTCACCGCTCAGTTCATGAGTTAAATTGACCGACTTCGACTTTCACGCGTTCGGATCATCGGTTAAACTGATCGGCTTCACGTCAAACTACTCGAACTTGTTCAAGACAGCGTTGCTCAAAGGATACAATGCGCTCAGGGACTAGCTGTGGGGGTATGGCCCCCGATACCCACAAGACAAGACATGGGCCACGCCCCAAAGGTGACCCAGTCCATAAAATCAAGGCGTGCACAGCAAGACTATATGAAGATGTGATTTATTGTATAATACCAAATATGATATTTTTTTATAATCTTATCCCTCCATAGTATATAAGAAGAGGCAAGTGATCCCCTAGATGATATATCAAGTTTGGTACACAATCAATATAAAATAATAGAGCACGATATATAGGGTGTTACGTTAAGTTGACGGTCTGAATCTGTATAAATCTTGTATCTTGTGTCTCTGTTTGATTCACATCACACGTACCTCCAGCGATTATCTACTATACCGTGATATACCCCGACTAGATTTCTTCGACACACCCCATCGCCGTCCACCCACGCACGCACGCCCACGCGCGCAGACGCCTCCACTAGTGCTGCCACGGTGGGCTGGTCCGCCTACCTCGGCACGGCCACCATCGGCACGCCGCCCGTGATGCTCTCCAGCGTCGACTCCCATCCGCAGTGCGTGACGAAGCACCCGACGGCGCCGTGCGACAGGACCTTCGTCTGCTTGCACCACTCCACCACCATCCCCCGCCCGCTATCACCACCACCACCGCCGTTGTTGCCCTCGCGCGCCACCAGGAGGTACGCCCGCGCCTCAACTCCTCCTCCTGCCGCTTGCTCAACGAGAGGTCGCTGCCGAAGGACACAAACACCACGGAGCGCGGCGGCTTCGTGTCCAACCAGTCCATGTACGCTGTGGCGTCGTTGGGCTGGAACAGCTCCACGCATGGCCGGCACGGCTCGTCCACCACCACCGGGCCCACGGCGACGAGGTTGAACCGCGGCACCGCGCGCAGCGCCTCGGGTTCCAGCGCGTCGAACGTGTCCATGAGCACCGTGGGCCTGTGCTCGTCCAGCGTCAAGAAGATGTCGCGCATGCAGCATGTCGAGCGTCAGGTAGTTGCGGCTCCCCGGCGAGACCATGGACGCGAAGGACGGGAGCGCGTCGGCCTTAAGCGGCGGGAGGCCCGGCAGGAGGATTACGGCGGCGGCGTGAGGGTCCGCGTCGCTCGCGCAGGAGGAGTCCAGCAGCGCGCCGTCGCCGTGGAAGTAGTGGTAGTACACGGCGAACACAGTGGCCGGCTTGACCCAGTACAGCGCCGCGGGGACGCCGTGCGCGCGCGCGACGGCGGGGACCCACCCGACGAGCGCGGTGTACACGACGCGCGTCACGGGGTGTCCCCGCCTGGCGAGGCGGGCGACGATGGAGGCGAGCATCTCGGACCCGACCTCGCGCGCGCGCTCCCTGTACGAAACGACGCAGTGCGCCTCCGGGTTGAACTTGAACCCGCCGCCGAAGCCGTCCGAGTACGGGATGTACGAGACGACGCCCTGGACGACCTCGCCGTCGGGGGACGTCAGGTGTGGGAACATGTGGCGGTGGCCGCTGACGGCGGCGGAGAAGGTGACGCGCACGTTGGGCATCGCCGACGCGACGCGCACCGCCAGCCGCCGCGCCGGGTCGATGTGGCTCTGCATCGGATCGGTCACAAACAGGAAGTGCTCCTGTATTGTCGCCATCGGCCTCGATCTGGCCGGCACAGAATCAAGTGATGAGCTTACCATCTTCGTGCTACTGCTCACAACGAAGTTCGTATGATTGTGTGATTGTGACCTGTAGCAATCCAAGGGCTGTCTATTTATATACGCGCATTCCGATGACATCTAGGAGTATGTGTTATGATTGCTCTGTCTGCTCAGTAGGAGTAGGTTTCTAGTTGTCGTCGTCAGGTCTGATCCAAAGATTGTGAAGATGTGCATCCAGCTGAAGATTCTACATGACGATGTCTCATGTCCGTCCAGTAATAAGCTGGACATATCACATATGAACATATATGCAGATACACTGGTATGAACATAGAGCTCGCCTATGCCCCCTCCATCTCCGTATCCTCACTCCTGCACTGCCACCACCAGCTACATCAATTTGGCTTGGGGAGAAGTGGTTACCTCTGTGTTTGCTTGAATTAGAGGGACAAACTCAAATCGTATCTCTGAGGAATATTGTCTGTGGAATGACTCAAACCTCGGCCGCCAATGAGTAAAGCCCTAACCAAATACCCATAAAAATAGATTTCACTCAACCCATCTCAGCCGAACCAATATGAACCAAGCACATGGCTAGGGTTTATTTAGTCGAAAAAGGTTTCCAACAATGATCTTGTATCATACTCGAGAATCTATTGTTAATTCTGATATCATAACTTGTTGGAACATAAGTCATAAGATATTGAACCTCGAGAAGTATCGCCAAAGACAGTAAAAACACCTCTCTTTACGGTATTTTTTTTGGGATAAACTCAACAGTCTCTTCCGATCTATGTTATTAGAGCGAAAAATGAATTAATTTTCTATCACAATCTCTTCTAATATATACGGATTGAAGAGGATTGCTACGAATCTAAAATGTTTGTTCTCCAAGATTTTAGATAGAGGCGGCACAACATACAAGGCCGTATCCACGCATCGACACAAGCATCAACACCACGTCCCCACACCACCATGGCCGCCAACTTAGATAGTTAGATCTGGTTGGGGGGATGTCGGATTCACCCTCCATGGCACTAGATCTACAACCTTCCCTGCTCGCCGACATGCGGGCACCACCACGCCTTGCTGGACCATAGCGGCGGTGCACACCACCACGCCTTGCTGGGCCGCTCCAATACAATGTACGGAGTACTTGGGCCACCAATCATGGGATTTGACTATCGCCACTCGAATAATAAGTGGGTGCCGTGGTTGCCAAGCTGAAACCATACTCAAGTGATCTTTATTTATTTATTGATAGTATAACCGCTGCAGCCTGCAGTTTAGACCAGCCATAGATCACTTTTACCAGTTCCTCTTCCTCTGCACCAGTCGAATGTCAATGGAGAACCCACCTCCCCCTCAGCAGCAGCATTTCCTGTTCGTGACTACCCCGATGCAGGGCCACATCAACCCGACGCGCCGCTTCGCCGCCCTCGTGATGGCGTCCAACCCGGACGCGCGGGTCACCTTCTGCACCGCCGTCTCCGGGCACCGCCGCATCTTCCCGTCGCTGGCCTCCCCCGACGAGGAGGCCGTGGACGCCGCGGGCGTGCTGCACGCTCCCTACTCCGACGGCTTCGACGACGGGTTCAACCCAGCGGTGCACGGCGCCGGCAACTACAGGGCCCGCGCCAGCGCCGCGGGGCGCGAGACGCTGTCCGCCGTCGTGACGCGCCTAGCCGCGAGGGGACGGCCCGTGACGTGCATGGTGTACACTTTCCTTGTGCCGTGGGTGCCAGACGTCGCGCGCGCGCATGGCGTGCCCGCGGCGCTCTTCTGGATCCAGCCGGCCGCCGTGTTCGCCGTGTACTACCACTACTTCCACGGCCACGACGCGGCCCTCGCCGCGTGCGCGAACGGCCTCGATCCGGACGCCACAGTCGCCCTGCCAGGTCTACCGCCGCTCAAGCCCGAGGCGCTGCCGTCGGTCGTGTCCATCACCTCGCCGGAGCACAGACACCACGTGGTGCTCGACATGGTGCGTGAGCTCTTCCTGTCTCTCGACGAGCACAAGCCCAGGGTGCTCGTCAACACGTTGGACGCGCTGGAGCCTGACGCGCTCCGCGCGGTGCCGCAGTTCGAGGTCGATGCCGTCGGTCCCGTGGTGCCGCCGGACGATGCGTCTACGTCATCACGCGCGGACCTGTTACACTGCCACGACGCGAAGCCGTACATGGAGTGGCTGGAGACGAGGCCGGCGCGGTCCGTGGTGTACGTGTCGTTCGGGAGCATCCTCCCGGTAAGCAGGCGGCAGGAGGAGGAGATGAGGAAAGGCCTGGAGGCGACCGGCCGTCCGTACCTGTGGGTGGCCCGAAAGGCCGGCGCCGGTGGTGCGAGCGCGGACAGCAGCAGCGCGGCCGACGGCGACGGCGCGCAGGGGATGGTGGTTGACTGGTGCGACCAGGTGCGCGTGCTGTCGCACCCGGCGGTGGGGTGCTTCGTGACGCACTGCGGGTGGAACTCGACGCTGGAGAGCGTGACGCGGGGCGTGCCGATGGTGGCCGTGCCGCAGTGGACGGACCAGCCTACGGTGGCGTGGCTGGTGGACGCGTGCATGGGCGCCGGCGTGCGCGCGCGCGCGGACGGCGAAGGGGTGGTCGAGCGAGGTGAGCTGCAGCGGTGCGTGGAGATGGTCATGGGCGACGGTGAGGCCGCGGCGGCCATCCGGGCGCAGTCTGATTGTTGGAGAGAAGTGACGCGTGAGGCGGTGGTCCGCGGCGGGACGTCGGAGAGGAATCTCCGAGCGTTCGCGTTGGGTACGGCTGGGGGCGATGCCTGATCGACCAGCCACGTCGGGGCACGAGATTGCTGCAACATTTGTGCATACGATGCGTGGACATTTCCACTGTTCGTGCAGAAGAAACTTGTCAATTAAAATAAATTGCGTGTTTGGTCCATCTATCTGTGCTTCCTAATAAATTCATAAAAGCATTTTCCTCTTCTTCACTCGCACCGCTCCCCTGCAATACGGAGGACAGCCGTTTGCCTGTTTCAGGCTTTCGATGGAGCTGCAATTGAGTTCAGTGCGAGCACTGCAGATCCAGTGATGCTTGAACTTGGGAACAATCACTTGGGCAATTGCTCGACCATGACAGCTTTTCTGAGTACAGTGAGTACATTCCCGGGACCATGACAGCTTTGCTCGATCACAGTTCATTGTCATTTGTCATGTCACTCTTCGAGTGCTGCTGCCAGCACATGACAAACAGTTCATGACTCCACCGACTGAATTCCGACGGACGGCCGAGGCACATGTCACCCTTCAAGTGCGGCTCCTTGCACCGTCAACAAATGCCATGAGATTACAGTACGACGAGCCTCCTTTTCCCATAGCCTCCGCAACAACCCGCTTCCATTCCGCTGCCATGCGCCTCACCTCCGTCCCGTCCCCCATAACATCCTCGACGCACCGCCGCAGCTCGGCCGCGCGCAGCACGCCACCACCGTCAACTTGCGCGCGCACGCCGACGCGCCACTCGCGCTCGACGAGCCGCGCGTTGGTGCTCTGCTCCGAGACCTTGGGCACGCCGCTCGCCACGCTCTCTAGCACCGAGTTCCATCCACAGTGCGTGACGAAGCACCCGACCGCCGGGTGCGACAGCACGTGCGCCTGGTCACACCACTCCACCACCATGCCGTTCTTGGCACGCTCACCCAGCTCCAGCTCCGTCTCGGCTTCTTCCGCGAGCATCGCCCTGTTGTCCTTGCGGACCACCAAGAGGTACGGCCTCCCGCTCACCATGTAGGCGTTGAACTCCGCAACGTCGTCGCTCCCGCCAGCGTACCCGCGCTCGGTGCCGTCGGAGAACGGGTGGAACTCGAGGCGGCCGTCTTCCTCGGGGGCGCCGCATTTGCCATCGTCCGTCGACTTGGCCGCCGGGGACATGCGGCTGTGCGCGGCAATGGTGGTGGAGAACGTGACGAGCACGTCGGGCGCGACGGCGAGCAGCCGCCTGGTGAGGCGCAGCGCCGGGGCGATGTGGCCCTGGAGCGGGTACCGGGTACGTGAGCACTAGGAAGGCGCTAGCGGTAGCCGGTAGCTGTGTCAAGCATGTGTATGGTCATGGAATTGTCGAAGCTGCTTCCAAGATGGCTTTAGCAAAAGAATTGAACCTGTCTAGTTGAAACTCGTGTATTTTGAAGGAAACCAGCACAACAAAGCACACGAATTCTGAAAACCAAAAAACCATGTGTTTTTTTTAACCTAACACACGATTTTGGGCAGCCTAGGTAACACAAGAGTCCCAGCAGAGAAAGAAAAAACCATATGTTTTTACCTAAAGTAGCACACGAAATCCATCCAGGAAGAAAAACCGTGTGTTTTAGGAGGAAGTAGCACACGGATTCTGTTGTATCTTAAATCTGTTGTAATTGTCTTCTGTTGGAGTTGTAATCTGTGTGAGGAGAACAAACAAGGCCCACAGAGAGGAGATCTGTTGTAGTTGTAATTGTGCAAGTGAGCCCAGAAACATGACGACAAAAAGGCCCATGTTATCAAGTCCCAGGCCCATCAGCCCAGCAACAAAATTCCTATGAAATAAAACACCTACATGGGAAAGAAGGAAACCCACACACAACAGATCGGCGGATCTGTTCGTGAGGAAAGAGCTCGCAGAGCAGAGGAAAAGGGGGAAAATCACCAGATCCAAGGAGGCAGGACTCACCTCAACATCCTCCAAGGTTAGTACACCCCACATCTAAGGATTGCATGTGTTAGATACCTGCAATATGTCCTCATCAAGATTTGATGGTCTCAAACAATCTCTACAAGGAATTTTACCTCATTAGTTTACAAATCAAGAGACAAAGAGTAGAATGCTGATTAGATTTCTTTTTAGCACAATCTCCTCTAGTTATCTCTACTAAATAACTAGTGGAGGAAGAATTTCTAGAAACAAGTAGTAAATTAGTGTCGGAGGATCCAGCATAGATTACATGAGATAAGAGCATCATTTAGATAGCTCAATCACACACACACACAGAAGTCAAAATTTCCTTGGCCAATCTCTATAAGGACTTTTGCAGGCACACCACACATATATCCTATGCATTTGCTATATTTTTAGGTAATAATTGACACTTTGGATGGGAACTCAGAACCAAACTTTGATCTAACAACACCAGATCGGATCAAGAAGTGGCAAGAAACCTTACAATTAATGTACCAGACTAACCAGGTACTAGTTACTTCAAATAATCATTTACCCATTGCAAGTAGACATATGTCAACAAGTATATATGTTCAAATAGATGCAGGCTGGACAGTATGCATTTCCAAATCCTATGTTCACAAATCTAACAGATATCAATTACAATGACAACTTCAAACTACATTTTTTTCTCTTACACCTACCGACTCAGTATGCAGAAGAGCACAAGACAGCTTCAAACTAAGTAGCAAGTAGACCAGAACACCATTTCCTAGGTCGTCATCTATAGAGACCGCAACGACAGCTACTGTCACATCATATGTAGAGACCACAACAATAGCTCCTAGTCCATCATCTGTAGATACTGCAACAACAGCTCTTGGCCCCTCATCTCTGAAAACCGCTCCTGGAACTGCAAAACAAAACAAGCTAGAGTTAACAGACCTGACACAACTTGTTCCAGTATGTGTAAGTAGCCAAACAGGGATTAACATCTTACACAAATGTCAGAGCAGTAGAAACTAAGACCCTGTTCGAATGGTATAGTTCTGGAGGAATTTGGATGGTTTGGAGGAATTCTGGAGGAATCTGTGAGAGGAAAACACTGTTCCGGATGAAAAAAGAAGCAGATCAAGCCAGGTTTAAGGGCACGCGAACGGGGCCTAAAAATGAAAAACTATCAACAAACTAGAATTAACATGCACACTGCAACACAACCACAAAGACACAACCATGACAAGAGTGCTAGTTCTGAAGCTATAATTTTTCTTCATGTTGGACTAGTCTGGCTATCATGCACAGAAGGTTATAATGTTTTTAATTTCATGTTCAAATAGGAGATGAGATAATAGACCATCCCATGGACTTACTTGAAATTTAGACGATTGTATGAGCAGCAGATTACATCTTACACAAACTGATTGGTCAATATCAGAGTCAAAAATGCCATATCAGGTACATACAGACAACTAAACAATTTGATTACATTTATAAGCAAATTACAAAATATGTACTACTACCATAAAAAAAATGGACTTATCTTTGAAAAAAACAGGATTTCGCTGATGACAATGATGGACAAATGGCAAGCATTGCTGATGATGATATATCTAAAAATGAACACCATCATTGGCAAACTGATGTATTCAATAGCATGGAGATTGATGAGGTACATAGAAAAAAATCATGTGGCCAGCTATTTCAGTGTACAGTGAAATAAACAATTATTTGTATTACAAATGCCATTACTCATAAACTAAGACTACTCCTAATATATTAACAGGAATAGCAAGAACATCAAGATGATCAACCGACAATGTCATGAAAATGACTTGACCATCATACAAGCAGAATCAACAAGTACATATGTTACATCAGCTATAACAGATGATAATGACCTAGTAAATGGAAGCCAGGAACTTACAGAACAAGAGATTAAAGAATTCATTAGAACTGAACAGCTTGCTGCATCTGAAGGCAACAATGCACCAATTGACAGCATCTACACCCCACAGCTAGACATGCAATTTGACAATAGGGATGTTGCTCAACACTTCTTCAACTTCTATGCGTTCCTTGCTGGATTCAAAGTTGCCATAACACATACAACAAGAACAACAAGTAAGAAGAGAAATAATGAGGTAGTCAAAATGGAAATGAGATGCACTCGTCACGGAAAAGAGAAGGGACCAAAATCTTTAAAGCAAGAAGAAGCAGACGTAGATAAGGATGTTGGAAAGAAACCAGTAAGGAAAAGGAAGACAAGCATGCAACACAAATTAGGTTGTCCGTGTGTTATGATGGTCAAAGAAGAAGGACCTAAATGGAAGGTTAAAACTCTTGATTTGGATCATAATCATGACCTAAGACCTAGAGATAGGGATAACCTATTCTCTGGTCATAAGTACATGACCAACATGGAGAAAGGGCTTATCAGGACTCTCAACGATAACAATATCCTGACCAGGCAGATGGTCAGTATTTTTTCATACCTGAGAGGTGGTCTAACAGCTCTACCCATGAAAAAGAAAGACATAAGCAACTATAGGACAAAGCTGAACAGAGAACTTAAAGGTTCAGATATGACAAAGGTTCTGGAATATTTTAGAAAGAGACAAAGTGAGGATGCTTCTTTCTTTTACAAGCTTGATTTAAATGACGACAAGAGAGTAAGGAACTTGTTCTGGACAGACTCATGTTGCATGAAATATTATGCAGAATATAGGGAGTGCGTAAGCTTCGACACCACATACATGACCAACCGATACAACTTACCTTTCGCACCATTCGTTGGGATAACAAGCCATGCAGAAAGTTGTCTCTTCGAGTGTGCATTCCTGCATGATGAGACAATAGAGACTTTTAAATGGGTGTTCGAGTCATTCCTTGAAGCAATGGGAGGGAAACACCCAAAGACAATCATAACTGACCAAGATAAGGCTATGCAATCTGCAATACAGCTAGTGTTAAAAAACACAAAGCACATGAACTGCTTGTTCCATATCAAGACAAAGTGCTACACCAAGAATGTGAAGGTCTTTGCAGCTAACAATGGGTTGTATGAAGACTTTGAAGATATTGTCAACAATAGTCTCACAGTGGAGGAATTTGAAAGAATATGGCAGAAGAT